ACTGGAAGCAACACTCTCCCTCCATTGTCCCATGGCCTTCTCATGGGTCTCTTTCTCCTCTTAGAAGGACATCAGGCATTGGATGAGGGCCCCCCATCCTGAGGACCTCACCCTAACTGATAACATCTTCAAAGACACCCCCCCCTAATGGAAACGCCCCAAGAGGATGACCTTTAAGGACAGAAATGTGTATTTATACAGCTCAGGAGATTACAAGTCTGAATTCAGAGCGTGGTTCTATGAAAAGGCTCCTTGTTTCCCCTCCAAGAGCTGTCAGACATCCTTGGAAATCTTGGGTTTGTAGGTGCTAGAAGGGCCCTAGGAAGTACCCCACAGCTGTAAGGCATTTTAGTCGGCCTCCCTGTCCTTAGCTGCTCAGCCTCTTCCCTCCTTGGGCAAGTGCAGCCCTGCCCATTAAGGGCTCACTTATCAGTAAACCTCTGCCAGAAAGCTTCAACTCAGCTATAGCTGTATGCTTAGCACCCCAGATGAAGTGCCTGGGGGCAACCTACTCCACCAGCAAGTCTCCTGGCCGAAAGGCACTTGGGAAGACCCTAGGGGAAAGGCTCTCTCAAAGCAACCCATCACACCTTAACCTATACAGCCCAGAGTGGGTGACAGTGTGCACTGAGATTGCCCACAAATCACCTGGCCTGTGGAGTGTGCTGATAAATACCCATCACAATGATTAGCTGAATTCAGGCGAGAGATCATAAAATGAGTTGTATTAAGTAAATCGACTGCAAAAGGCCTCTTTAGAATACTGAAAAACAAGAATGTGCCTTTGAGAACTAAGGTGCGCCCGATCCAAGCCATGTTATTTTAAATGGCCTCCTGCGCGTGAAAGTTGGAGATCGAATAAGGAAGACCTAAGAAGAGTCGACGCATGTGAATTGTGGTGCTGGAGAAGAGTATTGAAAGTATCGTGGACTGCTAAACGTAGCTGGCACTGTGGGTTTCCAAGACTGTAACTAAACACTCAGCTGTCTTGGAAGAAAGGTGGCCAGAGTGCTCCTTAGAGGGAAGACTTTGTCTTACATTCTGTGAACGTGCTGTCCAGAGAGACCAGGCCCTGGTAAAATGGAGAGGCATCGATAAAGAAGGCCCTCACTGAGATGGGTTGACACAGTGCTTGCAAGCATGGGCGTAGGCATAGGGACCACTGAGCATAGCACGACTGGGGAGTGTTTCCTTCTGTTGTGCGAGGGGTGCTTTGGGTTGGAATCGGTTCAGTAGCCCCTATCAACAGCAGCATCGTTAGCTACCAATTGGAGATTCCAGTGCGTCCGTCTGTTAAGTTCTGTTGAGTTTTACAAATCTGAAATGAAGCATGAGTCTGGCATGGAGTAAAAATGTGCACAACCTGGTTGTCAGTGTATCATGATGCCGTGGTGGCTGGTGTGATTCTCTGTGCCACCAGTGTCGCCAACGCCAACAGGTTCCGCTCTGGTGGGCAGGTTTCAGTAGCTCTTCAGATTGAGATAAAGACTTGGCTTTCTACTTCTAGATAACCTCACTCACAGCCACTGAATCCATCCCAACTCACAGTTGACCCTGTGGGACAGGGCAGGGCTGCCCCCATGAGTTTTCGAGAATAATTGCTTATGGAAGTAAGAAGGAAGAGACAAGCTAGCCAGGGTGCAGTGTAGCAATGATGAAACCTGCAACTTTCCTCTAGTTCTTTAATGCTTCCTCCCCCCACCTCCCTACTATCATGACCCCAATTCTACCTTACACATCTGGCTAGACCAGAGGATGTACACGGGTACAGATAAGAGCTGGAAACACAGAATCCAGGACAGATAAACCCCTCAGGTCCAATAATGAGAATATCGATACCAGGAGGGTAAGGGAAAGGTGGGGGGAGAAAGGGGGAACTGATCACAATGATCTACATATAACCCCCTCCCAGGGCATGCACAAAAGAAAAGTGGGTGGAGGGAGACATTGCTCAGTGTAAGACATGAAAAAAAAAAATTTATCAAGGATTCGTGAGGGGGGTGGGGTGGGAAATGTGCTAACAGCAAGGACTCAGGTAAAAAGAAAATGTTTTGAAAATGATGATGGCAACATATGTACAGATGTGCTTGACACATTGGATGGATTGTGATAAGAGCTGTAAATAAAATGATTTTATAATAAAATTATTTAAAAAAAAAAAAAAGATTTAAAAAAAAAGTCATCCACAACCCTGTATATCGAGTTGCCTTGGCAACAGCTTTGGAGATGCTAATTCGGCCATATTTTAGTAGTTAGGAACCATCTAGTAGGTTCGACCCTATGCACAACACAACAAAACACTGCCCGGTTCTGCACCAACCTCACGATTTTTTCCTATGCCTGAGCTCATTCCCACAGCCCTGTGTCAATCCATTTCCCTGAGGACCTCTGGGAAACCGGTAGTCAGGAAGCGAGTGCATGTGGACAAATTCCCTACGCTCACATTGAAGGAGTGGTGGAGGAAGGCCTTCACGCTCCTGAGAGTTTGAGATGCATCCCAGTCACCTTTTCCTAAGTACAAGTTGTTCTCCACTGTGTCTCCCCATAATATTGCCAACTTTAAGGTGCTTCTTGCAAGCACATGGTTGCTTGCTATGTTCTTGAAGGTTAACTGCTTGTAGGCTCTGTGCCTGAAAGTTATCTGCCATCAAAAGCAATCAGACCACCCCACTCCCTTCTGATAAGGATCATAGATTGCTCCCCTGGAGGAGAGCTCAGAGACACCGAAGGGCAAGCCAGCTCAGAGAGGACCAAGGTTAGGCCTCCATCTGAGCTCTAGGACCCGCCCATCTTGTTATGTATGTACCTTCCTGTCACGTGTATGTGCCTAGCATGTCCCCTTCCTGTTCCGTGTATGCCTCTATGGCACCCCTTCCTGTTAGGTGTGTGTATGATGTGACTTGCATGCCCCAGGTTATGAGATGATAGAAGGCTGTTGTAAGGCAGCGGTGATGCCATGACAGGCCAAGCCTCTTAAGGCAGGCCTAAGTTTCGTTTCTCTAACAAAGTCACCCTCTCCCCTGAAACGACCGACCACACCTGGAAAGTCGTGAGTGACCACAATTGGAACGTCGAGAGTGGAGCCAGTCAACCAACAAGACCTGCACAACCAATTGTCTCCAGATGAAGTCATTGAACTATGGGAGGGTCAGGGGGAGAGTTTCACCCAGTTTATGTGACCTGTAGAGATTATAAAAGCTTGGATTATGCCCTAGGCCGGGGTCCTTGTCTTTGGTGACCACTGGGTTGGTGCCTTAGCACTTGGGCCCTAGCTCGAGCTAGTCCATAAACTCCTTGGTTGTTAGCAGCCTCGGTGACTCTGCCTCCCTGTTCCTGGGGCTGCGGGAAAGTTGGCAGTAACACTGTGAGGGAACGCATTCACTCTCTCTGGTTCGGTCTCCGTGGAGGAGATGAACCCTTGCATACCTTGTCTGATGTTACACAATGGATGGATGGATTGTGATAAGAGTTGTATGAGCCCCTAATGAAATGATTTTTTAAAAATTAATATTAAACAAATATACCCCCCAAAATAATAGTGAGTACAAGAAAGAAAAAATTGGATGTGGTGATAATTGC